GCTGAATCATGTGGTAGGTCTATTTTGGGCTAGAATTCGAAGTATGAGCTTCTACTGAGTCAGTCAATGACTCACATGGAGGAAAGCCCAGTGGGAGATAGCTTTTAAGAGCCTGACATTGGCTACCATGGACAGCAGTGCATTGTACTCTCAAAAATGGAGAAGAGTAGATCTGAAGTGTTCTCCCCACAAGAAAATGACGAAGAGGTGAGCTTTTCCACATTCATCAGCTTGATTTAGTCATTCCCCAAAATGTCAAGTATTTCAGAATGTCATGTTATGCACCATAAATACATGCAGTTTTTATTTGTCAATTAAAAGTCAATGGACTAAAGCTGAATGTGGAGTGCACACCTGTTATCCCACCACTCGGGGGCAGAGGAAGGAGGATTGCATGGGGCCAGCCTGGTTTACAGAGTGAACTCCAGGCCAGAGCTACATAGTAAGAGCTTGACTCACTGTCTGAAAATTAGATAGATAGATAGATAGATAGATAGATAGATAGATAGATAGTTGATAGATAGGTGACTGATGGATAGATGGATGGATAGATGGATAGACAGATATGTGATAGATAGGTGATAGATGGATAGATAGATGATAGATAGATAGATAGATGATGGATAGATGGATGGATGGGTAGATGGATAGATAGATGGACAGGTGACAGATATATTATAGAAAGAAGGAAAAGTAAGGTGTGGCAGTACATATCTCTAATCCCAGTGCTTGAGAAGTTGAGGTAGGAGGACCCGAAGTTCCAGGTTGGGCAAGCAGATGGCTTGGCCAGTTAGACCTCCATGACCCACATGGTGGCAGAAGAGACCCGACTCCTGCACATTATTCTCTGACTTGCACACAAGCACCCTGGCACCTGCCCTCTGCCCCCTCCCCCCTAACAAATAAAATCTAATACAAATTAAAAATAAAAAGTTGGAGGTAACCCTTGGCTACATAATGAATTCAAGGCTAGCCTGGGCCACCAGAAATTCTGTGCAAAGAAAGAAAGGGAAGGAGGGAGGAAGAAATATGGAAAGAAAGATGAAGAAATGATTTTAAGATGATTTAAAAAAAAATCAGTAAGGCTTTAAAAAATGTCAATTTAATATTGTGGGCCCAAAACAGAGAGGATGATGGCAGGTGCCTTTGCCAGCTAAGCTTTCCTGCTGGCCTGACCTTAAATTTCTGATCCTCCTGCCTCTACCTCCCATGTTCTGGGATTACAGGTGTGCAGTGCCATACCCAGTTTTCAATTTTTTAAAATTTATTATTATTATTATTATTATTATTATTATTATTATTATTATTATTATTTGAGACAGGGTTTCTCTGTGTAGCCCTGACTGTCCTGGAACTTGCTCTGTAGACCAGGCTGGCCTTGAACCCGGAGATCCAGCTGCCTCAGCCTCCCGAGCGCTGGTGTGGCACCACGCTTTTAAGAACTTTAAAACTTTAAGACAATGAGTTGGGGGTCTCCCTGTGTGGCTATATGCCATTCCCCAGAGGATACGGCAAGACAATCTGTCCCACAGAACACAGTAGCAGAAGAGAGTGGATTCCCCTCCCCGAGCAGGCTGCAGACCCAGGCCTGTGGCAGGACAGAGGGCCGCCGTGTTTCCTGGCCCTTCTGTGCTTGGGAACAAGGCTTGGGCTTCAGAGGGTGAGTATTGGTGTGGAGAGATGCAAAGTGGAGCTGGGTTTCTCTAAGGGAATACTGATCCTGCTTTTCCGGTAACAGCTTTCAGGCCCTTGCAGTGGGGTTGGCTCAGAGCAATGGCTGCCTCCCCAACCCCGTTTTTTTTTTTTTTTTTTTTTTTTTTTTTTTTTTTTTTTTTGCATGTAATTCAGCTTGTGGCCTTCTCGGGGATCCGGCTTGCGCTCCCTTCCTTTTTTTTTTTTTTTTCTGGAAACGATCACCGGCGCCACCTAGCGTCAGGATAGGCAGCGACGACCCAGACCTACCCCAGGGGCTTCCAGAGCGCCGTGATGGTACCACCCTTTCCCCCATTCCCGTTAAGTTCTTTTTGATGCAGAAACTCTTCTAGTCCCTTATGGACTTACACACAATCGCCCTCTCCCCAACTACTATCCTTTATATCAATACAGATTCCGTGGGCAGGGATTTGGACAGATCACACGGCGGCAGCCTGCTTGACAGTGTCGGGGGCCTCAGGTGCTGGAATCATCTGGAACCATCTAGAAGCTTCTTCACTCGCTGGGGCGCTGGGCTGGGGTGACTCCAAGGCTGAGCTCACACTTGCTAAACAGGTGTGAGCTCTACCACACTGCACTACGCTGGGGGCTGGAGAGATGGCTCAGTGGTTAAGAGCACTTGCTGTTCCAGCCGAGGACGCAGATACAGTCGCCTGCACACACTTGACAGCCCACAGTCACCTGTAACTCCAGGTCTAAGGGATCTGACACCCTCTTTTGGCTTCTGTGGACACTGTACTCACTGCTGCACTCACACTCAGACAAAATACTCACACACACGTAAGATAAAAACAAATCTTCTCTTAGAAATTATATTTTAAGGGCTGGGATTGGTGGTACAGTCCTTTAATCCCAACACTCGGGAGGCAGAGGCAGGTGGATGTCTGTGAGTTGAGGTCAGTAGGCCAGCCTGGTCTACAAAGCGAGTTCCAGGACAGCCAGAGCTGTTACATAGAAACCTTGCCTCAAAAAACCAAAACCAAGTACACACACACACACACACACACACACACACATTTATATAATGACTGGGTCTCACTGAGTTCCCTGGGGTGTTTTTTTTAATTATTTTTATGTATATATGTCTGTCTATAGGTATGAGCATGTGAGTGCAGTGTCTTCAGATGCCAGAAGAACATGTGGGATTCCCAGGATCTCCAGTTACAGGTGGTTGTGAGGCCCTTGATACAGGTGCTGGGAACTGAACTCGGGTCCTCTGCAAGAGGAGTAGGCGTTTTTAAACCCTGAGCCATCTCTCCAGCTCCCCCAGGATGGTCTTGAACTTGTGATTCCCCGGCCTCCTCCTCCCAAGTGCTGGGATTACAGATGTGCACTACCATGCCCAAGTGCTGCTGGTGATTTTCAAGGGCACAATATGTTGTTGTTGTTATCATAACTATAGTCACTATGTTGTACAGTGAAATATAATTCAGCTTTTAAAAAGAAGGAAACCCTGTCACTTCGACAACACAGATGCTCTCCCTGGAGGATGTTATGTTATGGGAAATGAAGCAGGCACAGAAAAAGAAACACCGCATGATGTCACCCAAATGTAGACTCTAAAAAAGTCAAACCCATGGAAGCAGAGAGTAGAATGGGTATTCTAAGAAGTTAGGGTGGGGGTTGAGAGCTGGGCAGCGCAAGGTCTTGAGTTTGGGTTGTGGGGGACCCTGAGATGGGTTGTCCTTTTGATTAGGAAGTGTATTAAGTTATTAACCCCACCGGCAGGCAGACAGCAGAATGGGGGTGGTGCCTCTGAGGTGAGTTTAGGCTAAAGAGTAAGAGTTAAGGGTGTTGCTTCTTACAGATTTCAGAGAAGCCTGGAGCGAGGATTTCTCTGAGTCCCCAGCAGGCAGCAGGGAAGGAGATGGGAGGGGGCCACCGATAGCCTCTTTGATGTCTGAGTCTGGCAACCTCATTTGGAGACCGCGAGGAATCCAGGAACCTAGGGAGCCTATTGCAGACTCACAGGCAGACTCTCAGGGGGCTTGTGAGTCAGTTGGGGGATGGAGGGGAAGGCTGCTGTTGGTATGACAGCTTGGCTGACAGGCAGGTACTGTCAAAAGGGCAAGGTTACAGTGATGAGCACTGCGTGCTATGTGGGTTAAGAACACACTTGTACTTCATTCTGTGGGAAGAAATTTACACACACATACACACCACACACACACACACACACACACACACACA